ACTCATCTTGGCTGTGTTTTAGTTGACTAGTATTTTGTAAAATACGGTCACATTTCAATTATTATACATTATATATGTATACACATTACTGCTATTTTGGAATAAGTTCTTAAACATATTTTTCCTGAAACATAGAACAGTAAATAAAGAAGTAAAGTAAACAATTATTTCGTCTAGTTACGACCTTTGTACTCGGTTGCTGTTGCACCTAGGTTGCTAAGTTTTGAAAAATTTTGCATATGGAGGATATGAAACAAAATATATTTTTTTTAGGTTTTGTATATTCTTTTGAATAACTAAAAAATTATAAATTACTACATCAATACCATAGAATTAAACTTCAATTTATCAAGCATAGTAACTAAGATGTATTTTACTCTTAAAAAAATATTAAATTTCAAGCAGAATAAAGACACAATCTACCTCATTCAAATCTTGGTTAAAAAGAAAGAAATGATGCTAGCCAAGTTATAAAGACTGAGAAAACCACTAGGAGGACATTCTGAGCTTCTGATTGGTTATTCCTGTCATATGTAGAAGTAAGTGTATATAAGGAAGCATTTCCAAAAATTAAAGAGGTGGGCGGAGTACCACTGTGTTTAATTTATTATATGAGCAATATCTTAGCACATAGAAAAGAAAAGATCTTATTATTATATTTTCTAGCTTGCCAATATCTGTAATTTGAGTTTCTAATTTGTACAAAACTATAGACTTAGTGTTTTGACTTCACAAACATCCAATATGAACCAGAGCTGCATTAAACATACCACGGGACACACAAAAATCGATGTTTATCTGTGTTTTTTTTTATATTTACTTTTAAATTGAGTAATGTATAGTTCTAAAATTTGAATTATAATCTACAGTTTGATACCAAACTTATTGAAATAAATTCATGAAATAGTAGTTCAATAAAATTTTGAATATGAGTCAACAAATGAGATGACATGGCCTTTCACCTATGACCTGTCTCAAAAGGGTTAAACTTCTTCCTACCTCATGATCAACATGGTTCACTGCATCCTTTCATGTAAATCATCATGAAATCCTCCAATGCATGGGACACCCTATGTTTGATTCTACTTAACCATCACTTTTAGTTAGGCAGTGGTCTTGTGCAGGTGTTTCATTTATTGCAGATTTTTTAACTCCTTTTTTTCAAAGTAGTGCTTTCAAGTTTTTAATAACTTTTCTTTTCTACAATTTCTTCACTGTAGTTTGTTGTCAAAAGCACCTTTATTTCATTATTTTGTAATACTTTTTCTCACAGTTGATTATTGATTATGAACTCAGAATTTTGTACTATGACTTTTGCTAGTTAGCACTACTTTAATTGTTGTAACACAAACTTCAGGTGTGGGGGTCTCAGCTGGGGATATACAGAGAGTTGAATTTTATGTGTTTCATCCCTCTTTTTATGACAATGTACAGGATTCTCCTGTCCTTGTAGTGCCTGTTCATGATCAAGAGGATTTTGACAGCCCTTTTTTCAATGCCTGTACCTCTCCTGTGAAATCTGCTAGGCCTACCTTAGCCTTTATAGATATGTTTTCTCAGGTTTGTTATATTTTTCTCTATCCCTGAAAAGATACATGCCATCCCATCTTTCGATTATCTTGTCTTCTCTCCTTCTCCTGTGTACATGCTATGCATTTCATTTCTCAATCGAAGGCTGGTGCCAGTATGTCTTTTCATCTACCATGGGCTTCTGATCATTATGAATTTGATTACTTATCAAGCCTTTAATCCCTTGCTTGACTGGAGACTGGTGTCCTGTGATTGCTATCCTGCCTCAACCAATTTCTGGATCTTCCATGCTTTACCATGGAATCTTTACCTCCATATTCCCATTTCTAATCAGTCCTGATACTATCTTTGGTTTGTCTACAGTGGAGTTGTATTTTGGTTTTGTGCTTTACTTGTTGGGTTTGCTTCAGCACCATATGTGTTTGTCAGGTGGTAAAAGCTTTTTCCAGACTTATGCATGCTTCTGTTAGCTCCTTCTGAATTGGTGTCTTCTCAACACACTCATCTACTACTAACAGAAGTAGCTCATGTTAGTTGGATTTTCAAGATGGAGAAGTCTTTTCTGATTTCTACCCAATATCTTGTCCAATTGGGTATGTTTTTCAACACTTATCTCAGTTGGGTCCAACCTTCTCTGCTTCATTTGTGTTTGATGGAGCTTTCAGTTATTTATGCTCTTTCTTCTCCCAGTCTTACTGCACTTGAGGTTCTATCGCTTTTGGGGACTTGAGCTTTCACAGATGCCCTTATCCCCTTGGTTTTTGAACATGTGCATTCTCTTCTGTGGATGTTACATGTCCAACTGAATCTTGCTTGGGATCCCTTGGGTTCTCCAATTACTCTTTCTTCTTCCCTTCTTGACTATCTCCATTGGTGGTTGGATAGGTACCTCATTTGAATTTGCATCTGTTCACTGAAGCTTCTCTCCAGGGTTGGGTGCATGGGTCATTCAACTGGAGGTTTTCAGATATTGGTCTCAGGTAGAAATGTCATAGCTTATTAACATCTTGGAGCTTCTGGTGGTACGATGAGCTTTGGGTTATTTTCTTCCTTTTGTTTGGAACAGACTCATCATGGTCCATTAAGACAATTCCACTTTTGACTCTTATTTCAATTGCCAAAGAGACACCCATTCTCATTCTTTTTGTGATTGAATATTGGAAGTACTTTATTGGGCTCACACACTGCAGATATATCTCAAAGTGTGTTCTGTTCCCAGTACTTTCAACCTTGTGGAGGGTCTTCTTTTCACCAAGGAGTGGTACCTTGATCTTCAGGTATTCCTCTGGCTTTGTAGTCACTGAGGTACTCCTGATCTGGATACTTTTACCAGTTCTCTCAACACCAAGTTGCCTCATCCACAGGCCCTGAAAGTGAATGTTCTCAGTCTGGACTGGACCAACTGGTACCTCTATGCCTACCCTCCTATCTGGCTCCTTCCCAGGGTGATTTCAATCTTCCATTCCACTCTGTGTCAAATTCTTCTCATTGCTCCTTACTGACTATTACAACTTTTTTCCTTTTCTCCTTCAGCTTCAAACTACTCATGTCACTCGTCCTCTCACTACATCTCTCCTCCATCAGCTTTGGTCACTGGTCCTTAATCCTGCTGTTCACACCCTCTGACTTCATGCCTGGCATTTATCTGGTCCCTTGCAAGGAGATCCAAATTATCTGTGTGTGTTGCTTCCTTTTTAGCCTGTTTCATTTGCCCTTTCTCCCTTGCAGTTTATCAACGTATGTGAAACATCTTCTGCCATTGGTTGTTAAGCTGTGAGGTTTCCCCTTTTTGGCCCACTGTTCCTCTCCTTACCGATTTTTTTTTTACCTGGATATTCCATTGCAGGTTATCAAGCACCCTTGTCCAACACTTCCATTTTTCCAGGTACTGCTTTGTGTTTTCCTCTCCTACTGTCTCCCTTTTATTGTATTCCTTCTGGATTCATTGACATCCTCATCAATATTGGAATGTCAGTATTGTTCTTCACTGTATCACACTCCCTCTGTTTGAACCTTTGCCCTCCCATTCCCTATTTCACCTATCCATTAATCCCATTGTCCCGAGTACCCTTTACTGTGCATGACACAAAGTTTTAGTGTCTTACATTCAAAATTTTATTAAACTACTTTCTGTATATGTTATACCAATTAGAATAGCATCAAATCTTAGCTAATAATCCATATTTTAATAGTATAAAAGCTTTAAGTTCTTAATTCTACAAGGAAATATATAAAAAAAATGCTGCATTTCCACTAGTGTGACCCACAGGACACATTTTATCTTAGCATGTCATCATCCCTGTTTGAACCATCACCCCTCGAAAATGTACAAAATTAAATGTAAAATACTCTCTATGAAATTGTTATTGCTTAAACAAACCATAATTTTATAGGCTTCAATTTTGTTTAGTTGCAGAGCTATCAAATAGAAAATCAGCCCCCTCCTGCCACACCCACCTGTCACATCCTCTCTTTCACAATTCATTGATAGTTCTCTCTTACGTTTCATTATATATTACCTACAACCAATAGAAAGTCAAGGTTTTCATCTATCAAATGACGTATTGTATAACATTGTTCTGAACAGATAATTGTCAATCTCACTCAGAGTAGCAACATCGTTCCCGTGGGAAAGTTGATGATTAGCTTGGATGAATTTGTAACAGCTTTTGTAGCATAGTTAGAAAGCCGGGAAGATTTTGAGGGGAAGGTAAATTTGTCTATTTTTTGCATGTTATTAATCTATATTCTTTGGTGCATTATGTAATTAAATAAAAATTGTTAAGTGCATTACTATAATTACTATCAAATATCAGGCTTAACTCTCCTCGACAATTGAGGGCAAGAAAAAAGATGATTGGGGAAGTACTTTATTTCTTGTTTTTCATATTTATTTCTTATTTATTATTATAAAAGTAACTAAAATTAAAAGTACAGATCTTTTAAAGTTATTTAAGACTAGATTAGGTAAAATAAGTAATAATAATAATATAATTAAAATGGTTCATGAGGCACGCGCACGAGCAGCTCATGGGAAATGTAATTCGATAGCATAACGTGAGCTGCACGTTCTCCAAGTGATTTACAACTTATAATGGTGCAGGTAGTAGTAACACTTAGACACAGTTCAAAGGGCAATAAAACAATAAAATTTAATTATAAATAGATGGATAATGTTACAAACTTAGAGCTACTAAAGATAAACGAATGTAGTTTCATGTTACAATTTGAAATCCTTCCAGAAAGAAAAAAAAAGGTTAATTTAGGTTTATTTCTATTTTTTTTTGGTTTGTATGAGGTCGGTCGAACTGACCTATCCCGTTTTGAGACAGGGTAGAGAAAATAACAGATAAGCTATAAAGTTTTAGTGAAAAAAAAAAACACTCGAAATGCATTTGGGAGGTTTTAGGGATTACACAAAGGAAATTTGAGATTTTTGAGATGACCAAAAGTAATTTTGATTTTAACATGAAAATTATTTAGCACACGGACTATTCAAAACAAATACTCAGTATATTCATGGACAAATGAATACTGTGTTTCACATACTCTGTTCCATTCCACATATGTTCTCCTTTATCTGATTCACTCTTTTCTGCCCAAAACTTTGGTGACTTGTGAGGAACATTCTTTGTTCATGCTGATTTCCCTTCCCTCCATTTCCCACCTTCATTTTCGGTCTGATCCTGATAGACTTTTGTGTCCCATCTGTGCTCTTTGTTGTTATATTGCCCACACAGCCACCTTCTGTGGTTTCCAATCCCATCTTTTCATTCCCTGGAAACTTTCCTCCTTACGTGACTTTTCTTTTTCTACCCTTACATGTTAAGTTTGTCAACTTATTAGATTGGCATATTCCTCTCTGTCTCCTTCTTACCACAATTTGTTCTAGGTGTTGTCACATCCAATATGGCACCTTACCTTTTCCCTGGCATCTCATCTCCATCATCTTTTGGAGGAAATTCTTTATATGGGCATGTGGGCAACACCTCATCCATTCATCTCCCACTACCTACATTGGATGGCTATATCTTCCTTATCTGGATACTGCTTTCCACCTGTTGCCATCCTTCAAACATCAATTTGGTAAGTTATAGTTTTCTATGTAGTACTTGCTTTTGCTTACAGTGGAATGTCCCTTTTAGGTCTAGGATCCGTGTCAGTGGCAAGCCTTGCCTGTCCAGCTGTGCAACTTATCTATCCATTCCAAAAATCTGCACTGTGCAACTGACCATAAGTCACACCAAGATATATTATCTACCACTTAGAGACTCAGTCACTCCACCTCCATATAGTGGGTCCCAAAATTTGATGGTATGTGGTCCTGGCTCTGATCATCCTGTGGATTGTGGTTACTTAGGATGTATCCTGGTGATACATGTGCTCCAGCCTCTGTGCAGTCCAATCCAGATGATGATATTGCATGGGTTACACACAACTACTCTTGATGCTCCACCTCATTGGGGTTGAGCCCAAGAGGATGATGTTGCTTGGGATAGTTTTGCAAGGGTTGTATGGGACGTCCAATCAAAGTTTTCTTCAGGTGGAGGCTAATCCCAACAATCTCGATGTATACCCATGGCCAGGGTGTTCCACAAGAATTCTAGTAGATTTCCTCATGGTATTTTGCTTTATCCATGTGCCCATTTAAGACCGTACTAACCCATGGACTTTCATGGGTAAAGCAGAAGGGGATTGTTGCACATCAATTGAGTAAACCATGGGTGGTGTGCTTTACAAAATAGGGTTTGTGTGGTCACCCATTGCGCTGTCTCCTGTGTTAGCATTCCTCCAAACTCTCCACCACATTTCTCCCCTAATTCCTTCTAATGGAGTATGGGAGCCCTTGCCACTTTCCAGTTCTTAGCAACTGGATTGGTGGACTGTAGAGGCAACCTCCTGAATGTAATCACTTCCATTCAGTAGAGAGTGGTGCAGTGGTGTTCTTTCAGTGTAGATGGTGTAGATCCTCCAATTGAGTACTCCACCTTTGTGCAGAGGGCCCCAGAAGTTGATGTTGCACATCCATGCACTCCAGCTTCTCTGCAGTCCTATCTGGGGGACAATGCTGGGCATATATCACAATAGTATATTCTATGAATTTGAGCAGATCTTCCATATTGCAGTTCACCCCTTTGATTGGGATCCCTCACTCTACCATAGACTGGATGTTAATTCCCAATTAGTGGTTTTGGATTAAAGTTTGACCAATCAACATAAATCCTCACACATGTTGGTCATGACTCCTTGTCTTACTTCGGTCATGGGTTTAACCTTATGCACTCCACCTTTGTGTGGTGAGTCCTAGAAGTTGATGTTGCACATATCAGTTCAATTGGCTACAGCTCTGTGGTTGCTTGAGGTATCTGGCTCAATTATCCTATCCAGACGATGATGTTTTGCAGTGCAAATGTTGTCCATCTGGTACTTCACTTCATGGAGGCTTACTACCTGAGGTAGGTGTTGCACAAAGTGGAACTGGTGCAGTTGGGTTTGCATTTGAAGTGAATCACCACATTGGCACATCCTTTCCCACCATCATTCAGTTGTTGGGTTCCTGGATGACTGGTGTTTTGTTGTGGACTTTCACACACATGTGCTCTGTTTAGTCAATTGACATGGAATTTTTCTCCTTCCATTCTACTGAACTTGACGTGAAGAAGGTGGGGATCCTCCTTCTATCACAGATTGGATTATGTGTGGCAAATTCTGCCTGATTTTGGACTAGATTTGACCTGTCAGGTGTGGTCTGACATGATTTAGCCACTTTACACAAAGGGGCACACCATTTTACCTTTCCCCACCATCCAATCTGTGGCTGAGAACCCTAAATTCATCTTATCTTTAACTATGGTGATTTCAATGGAATGTAAGATTGGAATCACTCAGATTTTTCTCATGTTCATTGGATGTGCTCCTCCCAATTTCTGCCAGTTTATGCAACACCTACTACCACACTGGACGAAGAGTGTACCTGGTACAGAAGTGGTGTGGGTATCTCACTTGTGTTCTCTCCCAACATTGGTGTACTTTGGATGCTTTCGAAGGATGCTCATCTATATTCCTCGCAGTGGCCCCTCACCTTTTTAATGTGGGATTCTAACTATTATGTGAAAGTTAGGTACCATGTCATTATTTTCCTATGCTGAAAATATGCTTCCAATAGGTACTTATCTCCTCTCACACTTCACACCCTTCCTCTTCTCTGAAAATGGTGTTTACTTTTTGCCTATTCTCGAGATGATGGTTAAGTAGAATTGAATAGAGGGAGTCATGTGCATCAAGTTTGTCACACTCCTATTCGTGGGCAGTTGTCACAGGATAATTTACATGTGAAGGTGCAGTGAACCACTTTAATCGTGGGGTAGATGGAAGTTTAAAGGCTTGTGGCCTACGAAAAACTTTTACATATAGAAGGCAGCACTGAAGAAGAATAGCTATTATGTGAGAGGAGGTAAGTACCTATTAGAAATATATTTTCAGTGTAAGAAAATAATAACTTCTGTTAGATGTTACTTACCAAATAACTTTGTTTCTGTTGTGATATACAGGCATATCACATAGTTTCTACCTTTCATAGTAATATATGAATCCTGAAAACATTTCAGTTATTAGGTTTCCTTACTGTCATGGTGGCAACACATGGTCCAGAAAGAGTTAAGTTTATAGTGTTCCAGTCACTCTCCTCTCTTCATGGTCTAGTAGCTGACAAATCATCTTCCTGCAGTATTGTGTGTAATAGGGCAAGTAGGATCTGGTTGTAAGGATTAACATGGATATATCTGCTCACTGGTTGGTGATGACATTGCTAATGACCATGGCTGACCAATGTTATGGAAAGATAAAGACCATGAGGTGATGCTCTAATCTAGATTAAGGTTATCTGAAAGTTTAGGCACATTTTCTTTATTTGGTCAAAGCAAGATCTGCTGTGCTCTGGAAGACAACAGTTTTTAGTTTCTGTAGTAACTGATCTTGTGAAAGAAAAAGCTAAAGATTATCCTAGTAGGACCAGCTATCTTGTTGTATGCATGCTCTTTTCTTTTACTTATGAGTAGTAAAGATTATGATTCATTTTCATGAATTATGTCCTGGCTTTTTATTATTCACACACATAAAGGAACTCAGTTTACGTTGTCAACTATAGAACACTCCCCTTATTTCTTGTATGAATCTGTTGTTCTTGCAGAATGCAACTTTTTTATACTTGTAGGGAAACTGATTTTGACCCAAAATACCATAAATAGAAAGATAAGGGGAATTTTGGTGCTCTGCCAAACAAGATTTATTGTAAAGCATTTGTGTAAAGCATGATTGTACTAGCCCTCTCTTAACTGTATGGTTATGGGTAAGTCCATTTGGCATAGCTTGTATGGAGAATGATAAACAGGTCAACAATATTTATGATAACTTAATGTATCTTAAAAAAAATTGGTCAGATTTTGTTAAAGATTACAAGTATTTTGTACACCAAGAATGAGATTATTCTTATCAAGTATTTCCAATAAAATTTATTAGTTATTTATTGTAGTTATTTGCACTCAGACCCTGAATAATTTGAATGCAAGGTGGTTTTTGTGTAAAGTATAAAAATACTTTTTACCATCTTTTAGTTTTCAAATTTAATGTGCATAACCCCAGAATCTTTTAAATGAATATCAAAAGTTTTTTAAGGTAAATGTTTATATATTTTTTTCACTTTCTAACTGTAGCTGTTATTATTAATGTATAGTACAATAAATTATTTAAAATTAAGACATCGGAAAAATATACAGACCTTTTAATTTTTGTTGAATAACCTTAAATATTTTAATTTGGTTATGTTTTTGATTGCATATCTTTACATTTTCACATATAGTTTGTTTTTTAATGTTTTATTTTTCCTTTCCTGTCTTTTAGCTTTGTTATTAAATGGCCATCCCTGGCGAATATTACAGTATGATCAAAAGAGATGCTTTAGCCTTCAGCAGAATGTTGTTATGCTCCCTTATTATACTAATCCTTATGAACTAAGAAGGAGTTGGGTTATATTAAAAAATTATAAACCTTTCAGATATGAATCTTAAAACATAAATAACATAATTAACTCATTAAAAGCTCATGTCATGCGGAGAAATGTGCAGAAAGGAGGTCCCATAACCATACGATTAACTTCTTGAGTTAAAAACAGCTTAAAGGGATGCTTCTACAGAAAGAAATGGAATTTTCTCAATGTAAAAGTACTCAGAACTGAGAGGAAATGTCCATGACTGGAGAGAGACGGTTGCATGAGAGTGTTTGGCCACACTCTTAAGTTGGTGTCTGAGAACCTGAAGATGGTTCTTCAGTGCATTTAAAAGGTAGGTTTGAAGTGTTTTCTAATGCAAACGGAGGGGGAGTTTCCTCCTAGTCACATAGTAGGGAGAGATGGAATCTCTACAGTTCCCAAAGATAGCTGCACTTTGGATGTAGGAAGGAGTGCAAACAAGTATTTCAATTCATAAAGCTTCATTTAGTGGAGGCTCTAGTACTGGTCTATCCCTGGAATCGGGGCAGTGTTATCACAATTGCAAGATTTAGTAGAAGACCTAATTGCTCATGGTTCCTGAACACAGATACCGTATGATGAAGAAAAAACTTTAGTTGTTTTCGTCAAGCACTACCGTCATTACTTATATAGTAGAAGATTCACCTTCCAACTGGACCATGTTCACTGAAATGATTACTAAACTCTTAAAACCCAAAGGAATAATAGCATGCTGGATCATAGCATTGCAAGAATATGACTTTTTCGTAGTTCATCACCTAAGCCCACAATATAAAAATGCAAATGGGTTATCTCGCTGCGTGGTGAGACCTTGTCCATTCATAGAGTGTCCTAATCCTGTACACCATGTGGGAGTTAAAACCTTGGCCATTTCGGCCATAGTGTATACTAACCATAGGGTGACTCCACTGTTTGCTGGCCAATGATGATGTTACTAAAGGCTACAATTAAAAGACCTGTGCTCTGGAAGATAACAGTTTTTAGTTTCTTTAGGAGTCAATCTTGTGGGAAAAGAAGCTAAAGACTATAGTAGTAAGATCAACTATTTTGTTGTCTGTGTGGATACACTTGGTGTTTTCTTTTATTTGTCAGTAATAAAGGTTTTGTTATATACACACACATATAGGGACTCAGTTTAAGTTATCAACTACAGAACACTCCTCATATTTCTTTTTTAAAGGTTACTGCTTATGTAGATGAAGGTAAGGATGTAGATTTGGGGTATCTAGATTTTCAAAAAGCATTTGAAAAGGTGCCACTTAAAAGGCTTGTAAAAAAAAAGTATCTGTGTGAGGGGATAAGTCAGCAAATTGGATAGAAGAGTGGCTGGATGGAAGAAAGCAGAGGGCTGTTACAAGTGGAGTTCAGTCAAACTGGATTAATATCACAAGTGGGATACCTCAGGGCACATTCTTAGGACCTTTGCTCTTTTTATAATAATAATCTGCTTTTTTTGATTTACATCAATGACATAGATGAACAAATAGTCAATAAATTACTTAACTTTGCAGATGATATTATGGTCTTGGGTGTTGCTAGCTGTGAAGAGGATGCTGCTGATTTACAAGATAATTTAGATCATTTAGTGAGTTGGGTAAATAAATGGCAGATGGGTTTTAATTATAATAAATGCAAGATAATGCATGTTGGTTATCATAATTTGAATTATAAGTATAATCTGGATGGAAATAACCTTAACAGTGTCATGAAGGAAAGGGATCTTGGTGTAATAGTCAATCAGTCTATAAAGCCACCCAAGCAGTGTGCTGTTACTAGTGGTAGGTCAAATGTGACTTTAGGTTGTATCTACAGAAATATTAAATACAAGTCTAAAGAGGTTATAATTTCGTTATACGGGTCACTGGTTAGGCCACATTTGGAATATTGTGTTCAGTCTTGGGCTTCTTATCTTAGGAAAGACATTTAATTGCTGGAAAGGGTTGACAAAAGGGTTACTAGAATGGTGCCTGGGATGAATAGGTTGTCATACAAGGAGAGGCTGAAATTTCTCAAGTTGTTTTCTCTTGAAAAAAGAAGAGTTATCGGGGATCTGATTGAGGTGTTTAAGATTGTAAAGGTAATTAATAGTGTTGATGCATCATCTTTTTTTTACATTTAACAGTGAGAATAGTAGGACTAGGGGACACAAGTATAAATTTTGGCAAGGTAGAAGTTGTCTTCAGCTAAGACAGTTTCATTTTTCAAACAGGATGGTTAGCCTTTGGATGTTGTAGAGGCAGAAATGGATGTTAATCACAAAATTGTTATATATTCTTTTACCAGATAAATGTTGGTTCATTTTTAATAGATGTAATTTCCAAGTATCTCTGTTAATGTGTCTAATGTATTTCTGATCTCTTTTTTTACCTCTTCAACAAACGTTTATGGATATTTATGCAATTATAGTGATAGTTGTCCTGATTTGTGATAAACTAAAATTTTCAAAATGTTTTATGATTTTCTTTGTCTTAACTTGAAGGTCACTGTCACATAAGCTGGCAATTTTGTAAGCTAATAGACTCTTTGTGAGAAATAGGTTAAAAATTACAGTTTATTTTATTTTTGTTGGTGGGCAAATATAAAATTAATCTAGAAATTAGACCACTTTCACTTTTGAGAATTTTTACATAAACAGTATTTACTTAATGATTTCTTTCCAGTATCTTCTGTCTATGTTAGAGCCTAACAAGTCAATAGCTCCAAACATAAAAGCCTTAAATAAAACACTTAGAGATCTTCTATCTCTTTGGTTCTCTGCTGGCTTCATGAGATTACAACGGGTAACATGGGACTCATCGTGTGATATGCTACAAAAGGTTTGTGAAAAATTATTTTCAAATTGGCATTAAGTGAGTTCTTAATTATCATCTGATTATTATAAAAAAATCCTGAAATGTCATTCTTTCAGTTCAGCACTATTTCATATGGAAATCATTATGTTAAATGTTACCATATTTTCATCTCACTTTATTTTGTCCTCAACTTTTGATGATGTGTGACTTGTTACAAAAAGTTAATAAAACTTCATTGTATCAATTGAGTAGTTGATGGCTTCAGAATTTTCATATGATGTGTTATGAAAGCTTCATGATACTTCTGTGAAGTGAATACGGCATGTAATGGATTAAGTAATATATCAGAAAAGTTTTCAGCAGTAAGTGTCATGAAACTATTTGATTAGTTATAAAATATGTATCCAAGCCTTTGTTTATAACAGTCCCTAGTTTGCTAGTCTTTATACTTGTTACCTTTCCTTCCATCAGTTATATTTTTAAAACCAGACACTAAAGTATAAAAAAACATTAAGACAGTTAAAGTAACTGTTATGAATGTAAAACAACCTCTCTAATAAAAGTATATATAAAAAAAAAGTAATAAAATTATATCCTTTATACATTGTAACTAACACTATTGAATGAAAGTAATATTAGAGAAAAAGCAGAAGATATCTTACTTATGGAAAACACTGGGTGTTAGCTTTAGTTATTGTCATTGATTTAACGTTCACTGAGTAATGTTAACATCAGTACAAATATGTACATAAGCAAATATTTCCATAATCTTCTGTAAAAATTTCTTTTGCCAAATAAAATCCTACTAAATGACTCTGACCATGTAACTAAATAGGCTTGCCATCTCTGATAAATTTGTACTACAAGTTTTGATATTTAGGTATAGAGTCAAATAGCAGGAAAATGTCAGTAATGCAGCTAAAAATCTAATGTTTATGAACAACTGAATCATGCAATAAATAGTTAGAATATTGCTAATATAATTGAACTAGAACTATGCTAAATGTAATGAAAAAAAAATATTATACTGAACATACCCTGAGCTGTGCTTGCACAGTTAATCCTGTTTTCTTAACATCTTTAATTTGACAAAACACATGGAACAGGCAACAGAAAGTCATAAGTAAAGTTAAATCTTTAGTAAGGCCAAAAAAGTTCATTGATAGTAGTTAGACTTAGAGAAGGAAGTCACAATAATGGTAAATATGACAAATTAATTAGCAAAATTCAGTGCAATTTAACTAATTATACAATGTTATGTTACATATGGAACTGTTATATAGCTAGTATTAATCGTTTATAGTAAGAGTTTAAACTAATAGTGGTTAATGCACTGAAGTGTTTCAATATTACATTAAACAATTTCTCAGAAATTAAAGTGCAGACAAGAAGGTTTGAAAAGGTTGTGATATTTTATAATACATTTTAACACATAATTTGTACAAAGAACATTTTTGAGTTTTCCACAAATTCAATGAATTTGTTCTTGAAAATGCAATAGGATAAACTTCAATAGTGAAAAAATGTGAGTTTATAAGCTTTGTACAGAAACTCTGATAATTTATAATTCATTTTATTGAATTAAATAACCTGTGAGTAGTAAACACAAATTTTGCACAAATCTACTCAAGAGCTATCTGACTACCTGTCCCTAATTTTGAAGTGATAGATTAGAGGGAAGGTAGCTAGTTAACACCACCCACAACCAACTCTTGGGCTGCTCTTTGCCAACAATTATGGGACAGTGTGTCACATTATAATGCCCCTATAACTGAGAGGATGAGCATATTTGGGAACAGTATTTGAACCTGCAATCCTTATATTGCAAATCAGATGCCCTAACCACCAGATCATCTCAAACCTAACTTGTTTGGAATACTTGTATTTGAAAATGGAAGGTTTGCAACTTCAAAGTTGAAAAATGACCATTTTTATGAAAACTATGAAACTCAAATGTCTGTTACAGAAAGCTTATAAACTTTTTTTGTTATTGAACAGCTAGAGACAAAGGAGTTTTGTAATTTGTTACAAAATGCATGTCAAATTTTGTTGTTTAAAGTGAATTGTGAGTGACATGGGACCAGTCATATGGTATGCCACAAGAAGTTTATAAAAGTTAGAAAATAATATGAGGATGGTACAGTTTGGATTGCAAGATACTTGTAAAAAATCATTCTTTTAATTGGATAGTAAGTGCCATAGTACTCATTATATGACATGTTACAGTAGGTTTGTGACATACGTCTCTCTGTACCCAGCAGTATGTGACATTGGGCTTGCCATGTAATATGTTGTATGTATTATTTGAAACTTCTTTGTTTCAGCTGATTGGTTCATAACATGGGAGTGGTTATGCAATTTTTTAAAAACAGTTTGTGAATTTTTTTTTTATTTTCACTTCAGGTATAAGTGACATACATTTTGCTATGTGTTACTTTAAGAAAGGTTTGTAAAACTACACATTCAACTTGGCATTTGATTAGTCATTTCTTTGTCTGTTATATGTTATAAAATGTAAATTAAAGTTATTGCAAATCAACAATGTATGGGTGGGAATCATTATGCCACTAGTTAAATAAATTTTCTGAAGCTTCTCTCGTAAAATTGACTGCAAAGTTATGGGACTCATTATGTTGTATATTACAAAATGATTTTGAAACATTTTGTCCCTGAGTGGGACAATGTTAAGTCTATGAACTAACAACACTAAAATCTGGGGTTCAATTCCCCATGGTGGATACAGCAGACAGCCCAATGTAACTTTGCTCTAAAAGAAACAAACAAATTGAAACTTTTTAGTTATATTATCTTTTAGCTTCTTAATATGGGCAAACATTTACGAAAGAATAAATTTTTTCAGATTAAAGAATGCTGCAGTAAGCATACTTCGAAAACTATACTACCTCACCTCACCCAAAGCTATCTTGACCTTTATTTGCTCTCTAAGCATTGCTAAAATTTTCAATAGCACCCCAGTCTATTATACCCCTTCATTTTTGTGCCATTACAGCAACATGTGCTGATTATGTGACTACCCTCTACCAATCATATTGCACCATCTATATTAGTGCAGATAGCTCTCTCTACAATTGTAGCACAATCCTCACTTTTGAGAATTGACAGATACAAACCAGAAACACTGGCAAATCATTGGGGAGGAAGTGGGTTAGAGAAGGTAAGTACCTATTAGAAATACATTTTCAGTGTTAGAAAATGTTAACTTCCGAAATAGTACTACCTTCTCTCACCCAAAGCTAGAACCCCACATTGCAAAGATGAATGGACAGGTAGCTCCCTCTACCATTGCAGCACAATCCTCACTTTCTCGATTGGCATTCTAATATATAGACATGTATTTTAACTTGTTCTCCATGTGACAGCAAAATTTTGACTATGCTTGAGCACAAATATATATCAATTTTCACTTCTTGCATTTGATTTCCATTGTTTCTAGTCATTTGTTTTGAAATGTTTTTGTTTTCTGAATTATACCTTGTTCATACAAATTCATGATTTAATATGGTGGATGATGATATTCACACCATAAGTATACAATGGTTCTGACACTAATCCCCACGTCTCTGGGTCGGTGATGTCTGCTTGGGAAGCACAGGCTTCAGTTCATGGGGAGTTCGTGTCTTATATGTGACTGGCGATTTTTTCCTCTCAAGTTAAGATTTTTGTGCAGAGGGATAGAACTACTGTGTGTGGAAAGTTTTCTTTCTATGGCACTTTCCCCTGATACTATGCTTCCTCTTAATCCGCTGGGTTAGGTATTGTTCCTTTTTCTAGTAGATCTGTGGTAAGTTTTTCAGTTTATATTTCTTACTCCCCATAGGTATACCCATGTTCAGTGAGTTTATGTGAGCTAGTGTGTATGAATCTAATTTCTGCACTCCATAATTTAGGTCATTCATGTCTTCTCTGCTCAATGTTGCGTAAGTTAGATTTTTATATTTATTTTACCATCTAGTTTACTTTAGTTTAAACTTGCATTTGGAGTTTGTTTATTCTTTTATTTTTGTTTAAATTTTTACTTTTTTTTTGTTGTTAATGTTATTTAATTTGTAAGTTCCTTTTTCTTTATTACTAGTCACATTTAATTGGGCATTGGTTTTTGAGTCAAGCTTTGTTATGGTTAACTGGTGCCTTTTTATTCTCATGTTCTTCTGGGTAAGTTTGTTTTGTGTTCTTTGTCTTATAGATTCTCTGACAAGCTGCTCAGGTGGGGTTTCTCATCAAGTTGGAGAAGTCCTTTATTTTTTGGGGATTCTCTTCACTTCCTGTCTTGGTTGAGCCCAGTTTTCTCCACTTCAGCTCCAGAATATGAAGCAGGCAATCCCAGTAGCCTTAACTTCTCCTTCTCTCTCTGCATGAGAGGTTTTATCTCTTTTGGGGATGTGGATTTCTCTGGAAGCTCTCATTCCCTTGGGTTAGGTTCACATGCATTCCCTTCATTGGATGCTTCTCAACCAGTGGAATTTCCACCACGATCCCTTGGACCATCCCATATCTCTTCTATCTGGGATCACAGCCGACTTTCCTTGGTGGCTTGAAAGGGACATAACCACGGTGGGAGTTTCCACATCTCATCTGTTCACAGATGCTTACTTGGTGGGTTGGGGGGCTTTCCTTAATTCTATAGAAATTTTGGGTGATTGGTCAGTCAAGGGAGTTACTTTCCATATCCGGCAACTTTTGGCAGTTCATCGAGCTCTGTATCATTTCTTCCCATTCCTTTGGAGGAGGATGGTTATGGTTCATTCTGACAATTCCACTGTCATCAGCTATATCACCAAACAAGGGGGAACCAGAGCCAGATCTCTGTCTTTAGAGACTCTTTACTTCCTGTACTATGCTAATGACCATGACATGATGGTTCTGGCATGTCATGTTCCTGGAGTTATGAATCTTGTGACCGATCTCTTATCACATCCAAACCAGGTTCTATTCATCCTCTGGTACTTCTGTGGGTATGTTCTCAACTGGGAACATTGCATATATATATGTGTGTGTGTCTGTGTGTGTGTGTTCCCACTCACTGGATTGTTAAACTTCCTTCCTTTTTAGTTTCTAGTTCCTCAGCCTTGGGGATGGATGCTTACAGTCAAGATTGGAGGGGTTTTCACCTATATGCCTACACTCCATTCATATTCCTCTTCTGTATCTTTTCCCTTATACAGACCACTCCTTGTTGTGTTCTGCTGGCTGCTCCATATTGGTTGGTTTCCTCTGCTCTTGCTCTTACTGGAGTAACAGCCCCTGCTTTTTTCTCTGTCCTGATCGCTCCTTCGAGAAATACAATAGGATGTTTTTCATACCAATGTTACTACACTTCATCTTTATGTGTGCATTTTGTCTAGTCCCGTAACTCAGCTCAGGGACTTGCCCCTTGTCTATGTACTAGAGGCATTGGTCTTGCTTCTGAATTTGGTCTATTTGCCATGGCTTCCAACCATCCTGTTCTTCTGTTCCTCATCTGTTCCAGTTCTTCATCTGGTTGCTTGATCAGAGTTTGTCTGTTTCAAATGTAGCTATTTATAGGGCTGCCTTGTTGAACACCTTCTGTTATCTCACTTCTGGAAAGTCTTCTCTTCCCTAGTTATTTCCCTCCTTTTCCATTCCTTTCCTCTAATCCATCCAGCACATTCCTGTGTTCTGCCGGATTGGGATCTTATTGTTCTTCATGTCCTGTTCGTTTCTCCCTATGAATCCATTGCATTTTGTTCCTTGTATTATTTTTCCCTTAAGACCTCATTCCTTCTCCTCCTGATAGTTATGCCATCCTTTACCATTCCTCATGTCCAGATCAGGACATCAGCTGCCTGGGAAGGTTGTTTTGCCTTTTCTCCTATTCCTTTACCTTCTGTTTCCCACCTGTATTCCTGTTTGGATCCATATTATTTACTTTGTCCGGTTCATTCACTGCTATGTTATTTGGTTCATACTGCCTTCTTTTGTGGTTCTTGTCTAATTCTTCCATGACATACCTCTGTTTCCCGTGATCTTTCACCTATTATGCATTATGGTTGGGTTTATTAACTCGTATGACTGGCGTATTTTGATGTGTCCATGGAAGGTCGCTGTCTGCATAATGTTTCTTCACAATAAATTTGTCATCTAACTAAGTCTTTAGCTTCTCGAAACCGCTGTCTTTTGGTGGGGATTGTTCAGGCTGGTATGTGGACAACTTCCAATTCATTTGTCGCTCTTTCTCTGCACTACATAGCTGTGTCTTCCTCCAATGGCAATTCTATACACTTCTGTTCACCTTTGACTGGGGTAAGTTGACATATTAATATTTTTTATCTTATTTTGTTAATATACATCATATTTCAGGATCCCACCCAGTAGTGGATATTGTCTGCCCAGATATGCTGAATTTTGTATTTTAATACAAACACTGGATACTTCTATAATGCTCACTGTGGAGATAGAGTGTTTCTGTAAGACCACTGGCCACTTATCTGGCATTATATATATATATATTTTATTATAACTGTATCATATATAAAGGACTGTCACTCATGGACTTCATAAGTAAAGCAGATAGGGATTTTTGCCCATCCCTACTGATCTGTGATTCTTACATTCAAGGTCTTTCAGCTTTTCAAAATAGGGAAATGCAGACACCCATTGCACTGTCTCCAGTGTGCCATTCCTCTGGACTCCTTAATGCATATCCTCCCTCTTTCTTCTAGTGGAGCATAGGAGTCCTTGCCACTTCCAGTTGCTGGAGTGGTGGACCATGGAGGTTTCCTCAGGAGTGGGATTTGTACAATAAAACAAACTTCATAGTCATATGTACCCACTCTGTGAGAATTGGCTATTGTCATTATATTTAATATTATACATTATCACAATATACTCTATTCAAGGCACTTATCCCTGATATTTTTTTTTGCCTGGGTTGACCAAACTTATTAATCGTGAAATAAAATTTTTATGCAAGGTGCTTCCATTGGATGTTTTCTGCCTGGATGGACTTTACTTGACATAATCTGATGTATACCAAGGTGCTTCCCCAGGATGTTTTGCCCAAGCTGACCACACTTGGCTATTGTAATATGTATCCAAGGTGTTTCCCCTGGATGTTTTTCGCCTCGGCAGACTGCACTTTTTGATCTTACAAATTATACAAGTTATACTGTTGTTTTTGCCCAGATGGACTGCACTTGGCATAATCTGTTATATCTCAAGGCACTTCTCCTGAATGTTTATTGCCTGGGCAGACCACACTTAGCCTATTCATATACAGTCCTTTAGCCCTAGCCACATATTCATATATCTGATTACAGGCACCATCTTGAAATCCAACTATTATTATGTAACGTGCTCATGCTTGTTACATATATGAATGTCTTATGTACTCTCTGTTGTTCATGGGCAGAACCTGTATTACATGACATGATGCCCGTCTATTAAGTTCTGCCTTATATGTCTTCCTTTGTTCATTACCGGGCAAAGAGCATATATGTTCCAGAAGTAGTGCTATACCCTACAGGTGTACCTCCTTTTATAATTGTGGCACACCTGTTCTTTTTTGACAGTTGTTCTCAGCTTGTTTGATTACTTTGTGCCTTCACCAGCCCCTTCACTTTTGCAATGTGGGATTCTAGCTTTGGGTGAGAGAAGGTAGTACCATTTCGGAAGTTAACATATTCTAACACTGAAAATGTATTTCTAATAGGTACTTCTCTAACCCATTTCCTCCCCTTCCTCCCCACTGATTTGTCAGTGTTTCTGGTTTGTATCTGTCAATTCTCAAAAGTGAGGATTGTGCTACAATGGTAGAGGGAGCCATCTGCACTAGTATAGATGGTGCAATATGATTGGTGGAGGGTAGTCACATAATCAGCACATGTTGCTGTAATGGCACAAAAATGAAGGGGTATAATAGACAGGGGTGCTATTGAAAATTTTAGCAATACTTAGAGGGCAAATCAAGGTCAAGATAGCTTTGGGTGAGAGGATGTAAGTACCTATTAGAAATATATTTTCATTGTTAGAAGGGGTTAACTTTCAGTATAAAGAAATGTGCCATATTCTTGTGTAATTTTTTTTATAACCTCTTTCTATAATTCAAATTACATAGCATGATATAACATATATTATTTCAAACTTCATTTTCTTGAGTCAATTGATCATGACGTTTGTGATGGAGTGTTTTGCAAAAGGTTTGTGAAAGTATATTTTTCCAACTTATGAGTGGGTGTTTTACAAAAGGTGTAATATATGCATAATCTGTTATGAGAGTTTTTAGTTGTTGCTTGTACTAGGATTTCTTATGTTCTACATTAAATTATTATTATTGATTATTAATGCCATTAGATATCAGAATATGAAGCTGTCCATCCTGTTCGTAGTTGGGGAGATCTGAAACTCCGAGTTGGTCCATACCGGCGTTGTTATGTCTTCACTCACAGTAGCATGCCTAAGGAGCCAATTGTTGTTCTTCATACAGCATTAACTACTGAAATATCAACTTCTATACAGGTCTGTAAGATTGGCAAAGTTTCACCAAACACTTATTTTTTAATGGCTTATTTTGAATATTTTGTTTTAAAGTTAAATATTGAAACCCTAGAAATAATATTATGGTTGGTATTATCATTTTAAAGTAAAATACATATTCTGACCCTCATTTTTTTGAGCACTACACTATAAAGTCAAAACTATATCCACTGTTATATGAACAATACTGTTAAACGTTTTTATTAAATATTTTGGCCTTATAAATTAACACAGAAGTTTAGTGGCAAAGTTACTTGTACTTTAAATGGTGTTTTTTACACTTGAACTGTGTTGTATGGTACATGTTAATAATATATATATTTTTAATTCTGTTAAGTAAAACAGACTTTGATACCTTATTGCTAATGTTTGTCTGTAGGGTATTGCTATTTTTGTTGAGTACTTTCTTTAATCTTCTTTTCAGTCTATTGTTAATCATGCACATCTTCAGTTGGAGGAAAAATTGTTTCAGCCTTTGAGCAAGGATGTTGTAGAAGATCCTAAAAATATTCATGCTGCTGTCTTTTATTCCATATCTTCAACCCAGAAAGGTTAGTTATATTCTTTTATGTATCTGAAGATATTAAAATACTGTAAGTTTTTTGTCTCCAGGAATACATTTACTCATTAAGATACTGATTTAGTATCATAATAAAGTTTATGCAACTGTACTCCAGATACAGTTATGGAAGTTAATCCATTTTATGAGGGAACCATCATAAGCTCAGTTCAGATTTAAAATAAAATGATGTGAGATAGAGAAAATAAAAATATAATAATTTAATGATAAGTGTTCTTTGTTCAAAGTGATAAGTATTTCTTTATTATTGCAGTTGAAAAACATCTATCATGTTTTACATTCTAAAAATTAACCATAAAAGTTAACATTATTTAAATTATAATATTGTAGAGTTCAATTTTGTTGTAATTTATCTATAATTATGTATTGGAGAATGAGATTTGGCTACCATTTTTATTGACAAATTGGCTATCCACCCATTTTGCTCCAAACCAATGGGAAAATCTTTGAAGGGGTGCTGGCACTAGTAGACTCAATCCAAAATTACCTTGTCTATTTTGATGTTTACTCTAAACTGAAATCAGTATGTGAGGCTTTTTTAGCTGGCTGATTGATGGATAGCTGATCAGGGTTTTTGAATTCAAAGGTATCCAAGTACCTTTTCAAATTGAATTCCTAAAAGTGCAGTAGCAGACAATCATAAAAGGTCAGATTAGAGGTAGGCTTCAAATCTTCTGCCATCTACTTTAGTGATTAGTGTTTTTTAGCCATTTGCTTAGAATTACATAGAATTGAAATTTTTCTTTCAACTGACAATATTTTTGATGTGAAATCAATTAGATGATTTCTTAGTTTGAGAGAAATATAATGCATATCTACCATTACATTACCTTGTTCATTTATTATCCAAAATTTACTGTAAAAATGTTTGTTACAACACATACAAACTCAAGCAAGCATCTATTTGCTTTAGAATTGGAAAATATGTAGTAACATATGTAGAGGTTCATGCATGAATATACATAATATTTTGTATGTTTTTTAAAAGACTCAGTTTGTAAGTGATTAGTCAGTAATGTTTCCTAGTGGAAGCTGATTTATTCAAGTAGTGCTTCAATACTTTATGAAATGACCAGCTTTTTATTAACTTGTGTAATTATTTCAGTTATAAACACAAGTATATGGTATCTTCTGAATATTTCATAAAATGATCAGTTTGTCTGTTTACTGGTGTGTAATTTTGATCAGTGAAATTTATGGCAAAAGTTCACTGTTTACTGATCATCCCAACAGTAAATAATATGAATATTTAGTACCCTATATTTGCCTAGAATGCACCAGAGAACATGTAGACCCCTCTGACTTCCAGGGGCCTAGACCTTTATGGGCTGGGATCTAGGACTCACCAAAAATGCTAATTGCAATTTTTAGCCCCCACATTATCTGTATCTGTATTACTTTGATGAAATTTCTTAAAGGAAATTTAGGTGGATCCTCCAAACTCGAGTTTAATGCTATGGTGCCTGGCTGGGTGAACTTGTTGTGTCAAGAACAAAATTGTACTATTTAATTAAAAAAATGATAGAAAATATAGTTATAATTGTTCTTTCACATATTTTTTCAATAATTCCAAGTTGAAATATATTCATTAAAAAAAGTTGGTTTATTCAATTTTATAAATATAAAAAGAAGTGCTAATTTTAAATTGGGTTGATTTTAGCCCTGAACAAAAACATTAATGTTTGTAAATTTCCTGAACTTTTTTAATATGGCTCTCATAACCCCTAGGAAAAAACTTGAATAAAGTGGCAGCAATTCAAACATTGTAACTTCAATACAAGTGTGTAGTTTTATCAGTTTTAACAATTGCTCTTTCTCAACCTTGGTTGTCATTTTGTTATGTAAATTGCTTTTGTCTCAACTTTAAAAAGCCATAGGCAAGTGACCTAAACACATAATGAAAGCTCTTTTTTTTCTTTTTTCCAACTGTATAAGCCAGTTTGGTTACCAGTTCAGTGAAGATGTGTGAACAAATCAAAATAAAGTCATGAAAGTTTAGCTTGGTAATGTGTTGCTGAAAGAAAAGATACCTGTGAACTTCTACCGCAATTACAGTCTTGATTGTTTTTCTTAAAGCTTGCAAAAAGTTTGATTTACTGTATCATTTTATACTTCATTTTGAATTATGAGACAGTTCCTACAGAGGAAAAGAAATATATTTTGTAATTAGATCATTTTGCATTCTATTGTATCAAGTTCTGTTTCAGCCTAAGTAACTGCTGGAATGGACAAAGAAAATTGACAAAAAAACAGATGTAAAAATATAAATTGTTATACAACAGATTTAAAACTTATTAAATATATTAAAACAAGCCTTCTCATTAACAGTGAAAAAGTTGACTTGCTTATAATTTTGGTATAGAGAGAAAGTTATTTTTATTACAAGTCAATGCTTGTAAAAACAGTGAAACTGCACATGGTAAATTGTACATTACCAGTGAAGTGAGTAGTGTTAAATTTAACTAATCTGGTAGATGTTTTCATTGAGTACAGTTTAGAAAGAGAACAGTTTCAATCCAGTAAAAGTGACTGGCAGTCCATCACCTAAGAAAGTACACATACTATGTTTATGTTTACCATTACAACAAAGATGGTGCTTTTATTTTTTCATTCTGTCCAGTTTCTATATTTCATTTGTACAAGTGCTTGTCTTCAAAGAATCCTTGTAATAGATATCTTGTTAGACCTCCTACCCCATTGCTCTCAAAATAATCAATTTTACCTGATTATACTTTAAGTTTTAAAAGAATGTAGGAAAGAATAAAAATCAGTAATTGAAACTTAAAACAAGGGTAAGCATTTTTAATTGTTTCTTTAAAGAACATTTTACAAAGAGTTATTTTCAAATTTGAAAATCTGTAAATTCATGCCAATATCACATATAAAAATTAAAAAATACATAATTTATTGAAAGTTCAACTCAGGTTTCAAACAGTATCTTCCAGACATTTGTGTCTGAAATACTAGAAAACAAACCATACAACAGGCACATCAAATTGATGAACTATGGTGTTTCAGAGTTAAATGAATACTTCTTTAGTACTGTAAATGTGTGCTCAATTGAGAGAAAAGGTCAGTATTAAAATACATGAAGCCAAACCCAAGTTAAACTGATGCTTAATTCAAACTTTGGAAATGTCCATCTTGGTCATCCAAAGACCTGGAGAAAATGCCCACGAAAGAGAAAGTTATGTCTCCATGGTAAAGCAAGGAGTGTGAATATACTGATTGAGACAAGATAAATCAGTGACAGGATGCCAGTCCCCAGTCTTCTTGGGAACCCCAAACAGGTGGAAGTAAAACCCCCATGAACTTGGTGGAGCTGGTTCAATAGCCTTTTGTGCAGTGAGGTCCTGAACCACCTCTGACAGATGCTAAAGTGTCGATCGAAGGATCCAGAGGAGAAGGTAAGGTAAGAGGAACACTGAAGAAGGGAGGAAGGGAGAGAAAGGAGATAACATATCCCTCCAAGAGCACTCTGTGAACCCAGACATCAGTGAGAAAAGGTCCCTATTGGTGAATGAAATTCAAGATATGAGACCCCAATGGACCCAAACCAACCACGTAGTCACCGGTACTGCTGTTGGCAGATCGTACATCATCAAGTAAATTGTTGAACCATGGCACCACAGGAGGGTGGGAAGGTCGAGGGAGAGGAACCAGTCCCACACTCATCCCCTACTGTGACAAACAAGCTACCAACTTAGTAGGGGTAGAATGTTGATGGGACAAGGCCATCCACAACTCCAAAGACATAATGCCGCAAAAACATTGCATGCAGAGGTCCCTCAGATAAGGAGCCTGGAGACAGGTCTGCACCAGAACTGCATCATGGCCCAAGAGGTCCCAACAAAAACCAACCAAGTTTGAAGCATGAGAGCTGAAAATGACAGGGTTATAGTGAAGAGCCTCTAACAGAAGCTGAAGGGAGGAAAGGTACCTTAACAGGGTCGTGAGGGTAAGATGAAGGCTAGAAAATTGGGCTTGGGTAAGTTGGACAGGGTAATCTGGGTTCGTCCCCAAACAGATAGGACCAACCACAACAACTGTTGGTTAACAAAGGGGAAGTTTGACTGATAATAAGCGAGGACGTACTGATCCAAAGTCTGTGGAGGATGAGGCATACTAACATCCTCCCCCAGTTGAGAGGCAAATTGGTCAGCGTGAACCCTAATATCAAAGGATGGGTGAAAGACTAAATAGGGTCAGGAGGTTGTTTCATGTAAGAGGGAAGATCTAGGGTCATAGGAAACAGGTGTAAAAGTCAAAACCTCACATACCAGAGAGATAAAATGGACGAGCTAAATTATCATGTAGTGAATGGGAAGGTGCGGCAAACTCCGAGGTGGGTGGGGGTGAACAAACGATCAAAATCTTCGTCATCCTGGTCCAGCTCGAAAGGCTCAGGAGGAGAGAGGTTGGCTCATATATCGCTCAATCTCCTGGCGAATGAGCTACGATATATCCTGGCTGAAACTACAGCATCACACGCTGGTGAAGTACCCAAAGTGATGACTATAACTTCGGAATTCATAAGCGGGATAAAGCAGCAAACATAAGGAAGTAATGCTTTACTAAAAATATTAACTCCACAACTGTGAAGTGTAGTAAATAAAGTTAAGAAAAATATAAAAAATGCAGAATAAAAAATAAACCACTTCAAGGTAACTGAACAATGTAAGAAAGAATGTCTGAACTCGACAGCTGCCAAATGAGAAGTGATAGTTTGGTAATAGCACGTAGAGGGAGTCACATAGTGATAGTAGTGCTCTCCTATTGGCGTAGATGTGACACATGATGATTTGCATGAGAGACTTGTTGAAACTTTGGATTTTAACAGAGGGATCATGAAGGCTTGTGGCATGCATTTCTGAAAAAGTTTGCATACAGAAGGCAGCACAAAACGAAAAAAGCTAATCTTGTGAGTGGAGGGAGAGTACCTTATTAGAATACTAATTTCACATGTAAAAAGAGAAGCAGCTTTGAAATACTATGCTTCAATAACAGGAAATGCACTTCTAATTTAACATGGCATTATGTATAGCTTCATTATTAAAAATGTTCTCTTTAATTCAGTTAAGGCTCTTTTAGTCTAAAGTGCATTTTTTACAAGAAAAACGTTTATTTTCAGCAGTAATGATTAGAAGTAATATAAATGAACTCCCAGTAGACTTGATTTACTGGAAATGAATAAAAGATCTTTCTTAGCTATTCAGCTTTATATTTCTTGTTTATGAAGATTTGAGCTAGGCACGTATCTTATTTGCTACACGTTGAACAAATTTTGTTCATAATGTCAATTTTATATCTTAGATCAATAAGAAACTAAACCAGGCACACAACTGATCTACTCAACCTTTAAATTGTTATTTTTACAAAAACTTAAGATAGGTACATAGTTGGTCTACACATTCTTTTATTCTAGGTTTATAAAGGATTAAGACAGGAACTTTATTAGTTCCCTCATCATTATATTTTAGCTTTGGAAGAATTTTTATATATGTACTGAAACTTTATTTTTAGATCTAAAGGAAATTGAATTTGAATCTTTGTTGACCTACTCATCAATATATATTCCAAGTTTAAAGATAATTGAATCAGATACATGAAATTATCTACTCACATATATTTAAATGTGCAAGAAATCGTTTTTGTATTCAAGAATTACAAAGAATTGAGCTAGTTCTGTATTTGATTTATTCAATCTTATATTTTAGGCTTACAGGGTATTGAGCTAGGAACTCAACTGATCAAACAAGCTGTTAAAGATGTGCTTGCAGAATTTCCACGAATTTCCTTGTTCTCTACACTTTCACCTGTTCCTGGCTTTCGAGACTGGCTCTTATTAGAACTTAGCAAAGATGAAAGAGGTATGTATGTATGTATTGACATTTTTAATAAATCTTATTTTGAAGGTTATGCTGAAACAAAAATCAGAAAGAAGTTCAACATAACTGACAAGTGTCATGCTTAAAAAATTATTGCTACATCCCATTTTGAAAAGCATTAACTTATTGTACTTCCTTCCAAACAAAAAATATTTTTTAAAATTTTTTTAGTGTACCAAATGTTTTCATGCAGTAACATGAATGAGATGAAAAACTTGTAATGGTTCCTAGAGAATCATGTGTATTTCTTATGCTTACTGATTTGGCGAAAGTGAATACTGGATACTTCCTCTTTGAAACTGCAATACTTTGTATTCATTTTTACTCCTCTGGTGAATATTATGTTTCATCACATGAATGAAAGCTCCAAAGTAAAACAATACTTACTATAACTGTTCTCTCATTATGCATTCCACTAAATACAATGCAGGTTAACTCTAATGACACAATATGCAATAAAGAAAAACATGCTGTAGTATTGGCCATCTGTTACACACCAAAATATGTATAATAATGCTGACACGTGAGCCACCACCTTTTTGACCTCTTATATCAGCTCTTATATACAAGTGTCCCCCAGCAGAAAGTTTAATTAACCCTCTTGCTACAGGCTTCTTTTTTGTGCATGTCATAAGGTTTTTCTGAGTTACATTCAAAATTCATTTAAACTACATTCTTATCATATAAATACATAGCTAAAAATCCAACTTTTAATATTAAGTTCTAAGTTCTTAATTTTGTAAAGCAATATTTAAAAGAATCCTGAATTTCTGGTAGTATGAGAATTATCATATTGCCCTCTAGGCAGTTATTACTCTAACTTATTTACCACTTCTCCAAGAAGTACAAAATTTAATGTAAATTACTCTTTATAATATTTTCATTGTTTAGACAAAACATATTTTTATTGCCATCAGTCTTATTTGGTTAACAGAGCCATACAATAGAAAATTAGGCCCCTATTGCCATACCCATTTGTCATATCCTCTCTCTTTCAGAAATTGCCAATAGTTCTCTTTGACATTTAATATTATATTACTTATAACTAATAGAAAACCAAAGTTATAATCTATCAAATGACACATTACATTGCATTGTTTTCTGTATAGAGAATTGTCCATTTCACTTCCAGTTTGTTCCCTGCTCTGTTGTTTGGTTTGTACTGTCTCTCTTCATTGCTTTCATTTCTGTTTCCCCTGATCTCTCTCCTATTATGCTCACATCTTGGGTTTGTCAACTCCTACACCTAGCATATTTGGATGTGTCCCTGGCTGGTCACCATCTACATATTGTTTTTTCACACCTAATTTGTCATCTAACTCTGTCTTTGGCTGCTTGACACCATCGTTTGAAGGGGATAATTTGCCAATAGGTGGACAACTACATGTGCTTTCATCACTCCTTCTCTGCACAACTTCGCTGTGTCTTCCTCGGGCAGATATTGTCTTCCTCCTGTGGTGATTCTACACATGTCTGTTTGCCTGTGACTGGGGTAAGTCGTCACATTATCACTTTTTTCTCTCTTATCCTTGCTTATACATTATATTTCAGGATCCCACCTGGTAGTGGGTGTTGCCTCATGTATGCTGAATTTTATATCTTAGCACTATACCTTTATACTTCTCCAACACTTACTGTGGAGATGGGGTACTTCTGTAAGACCACCATATGCTTTTCAAGTGATGTATCTTATACCATATATCACATTTTTTTATCAATATCTATATATATATATTTTTACGT